CCGGCGAAGCGGAAAACTGGATCCTGTACATAGATGCACGGCGAAGCCTCTGAATCTGCAGCTTTGCTCTCGGAGCTCCCTACCGGGTGGCAGAACAAGCACAACGGATTCAGAAGCCAAATCACGCTGTCCTCGGGCCGGGATGCTGCGCGGTCTGCTGGCTCCTCACGGTGGAGTCTTATGATGTTTGAGACCATCCAGCAAGGAGATGAATCCGAATCCGATATCAGAGCTGGAAGAGTGTTGGACGTAATCTAAGCAAGACTAAGGTTTGCCGACAGCTCAAGCCTCCCACAACAAGGAGCACCCGCGGAAGTCGTAGGGCAAGGATGACCTGGGATGAGGCTCGCTCACAACGCACAATCAGCTGAGGCCTCAACTTGACCTCACTCTCCCCGCTCAAAAAAGATCAGTCTTGCAGCTCGCCCCCTTTTCTGTGCCCTCGACCGTATCCAGATACTGTTCACAAAGGCGTCGATACCTGCTGCACAGGCGTAGGTTCACTTTGCCCTTGTCACCGAAGCAGCCAGGAGCACTCTCAGATGGCCGCAGTGACAGTCGCATCGCAGCAAGAGATGCGAGCGAAGCCTGGCGGTGCAGCCGCCAGCGGTAACACGTCGGTTACATCTCTCGAGTGTCTGGCAGATGAGATTGCCAGCTCGCAGTTTGGTGCCATATTCGGCATGACCTCGTAAGCCTCCGAACCCACGCAACCAACACATTGCTTGACCGTGCTGGTGCAGCAAGAGGATGACGGCACAAACAATATGACGGCCTGAACCTTGCCAGCTGCTGACACGGCCAGTACCGATTGGCTGCCTTGACCCACAGGGATCAGTCCAGGGATTCATGTCATTACATCACATCTCCCTTCTCCGCTCTGGCGTAGAGGCCCTCACGACGCCGGACCTCCACACTGAACTCAAAAGGCAGCGGGGCGGACGCCGACCTTTGCGAGTTTCAAGCACAGCGAAGTCATGAGGTGTGCGGGGTGTGTGCTGAGCTTGAAACGCGTTAGCATCGGATGCCTTCTCGGGTGCGAGAAGCAAGAATCCACTTCGAGAGTCTTTACGATATCTTTGTCCACGCCTGTGCGAGGATGCCGATCCACTCGGTCCTCCAACTCTCATGGCCCGAAACTCGCGGGCGAAAGGCAGCTTAAAAAAAGCAGGAAAGAAGACGGTGCCAGTTGCTGTCCTCTTTGCTTGCCAAAGACCGAACTCAGGGGCCATGCCCTCCAGCCCTGAGTGAGACTTGCCGCAGTGCCCAACAGAGTTCCATGATTGCCGAGCTGCGACTTTGTGCTTGCAGTGGCACAGTAGGGTGGAGACTGAGCTGCAGCTGCGGGCTAGAAAGGGGTGGCAGGTCCTCAAGTGTCTCCAGCGATGCGGACTTCACCATGCATCGCTGCTGCACCAGCACAGGGCCAAATAAGGCCCAAACCATCTCATAGACCTGAGCATTGGGCAAGCCGTGACTGAAGTGATGTCTCCACCTGTCCCCCTGTCTACAAATGATTTGAGAGCATAGTCTGTCAGCAGGACAGCTGCACATGGTACACAGCTTTCGTCTCGACATCATGACAGCCCGAATGGTGATATTTCATCTTTAATGCTGAGCTCCCGGCAGTCAACACTGCTGCGTTAGACGAGCAGCTTGGGGGTGCTTTCAAGCCCACCATTGCTGCCTGCAATCGGCCACCGTCAGGTAATCAGGCACTGCTGACTTGGGCACCGGCCTGTGCCACAGGCGACTCACAAAAGAGGGGATCTAACTCCCAGCCGGAAGGCCTCTGTGCGGCGGGTGAGTGATCGTCCGCGAGCCACGAGGGCAACACGGTCAGCGTACCCTTCTGCTGTGGTTTAACTAAGCCGCGAGCACGGTGAAAATCACCTGGTCTTGCAAGAGTAGTCTTCCTGCCTTGGACAGGACCGGTACAATGAATATCCGCAACTTACAAACCATTCTAGCAGCTGCTGCTCTTCATGTCCGCACCTTTTGTAGGGAGATTTTGTGACTACAGGATGCAAGAGATTAGTTGGTCTATACGCGCTTTCATCGCAGGGGCACCAAATGGATCATCACGGTCAGCAGCACGGAAGAGTCGCCAAGGCGATGTGACCTAAGCGAGTGGAATATGCCTGCAGCACTCTCTATTGCTAAGCTTGAAGAGGTCCTTCGAGAAACATCCTTTCTGTTTATACATGTTGGTGGGTCTCAAGGCTGCACCTACTTCTATGCTTCTGTAACTTTGAGGCAGTGCCCGAAGCGTAGATTAAATGATACCACATGCCTCAGCCTCATTCTCGCTGGCAGGTTCTGTCTTCGAGCCGGGGAGTGCAAGTGAAAAGCAATATTCTAATGTGGAGAAACTACCGAAAGATTATACTCAGGAAGAGTCGGTTCCACCACGAAGTCGGCCACCTGCCAACTATACGATCGATTCACAAGGCGTTTTAAGGCTCTGCTTCGTAGTTCACAGATGGCATGCATCATCATGCCCAAACCCACAGCAACCTGCCCTGCCTCGCCAACCAGATGAAAGCCTCGAGCTTCTGACGACCTCACAAACATGCCTACAAAGGCAGCGGCAATTTTGCTGCAGTGCAGGAGGTAGCCCTGCAGCAAGCTCCGGGCCAGGTGACCTGCTCCTTGAGAAAGATCTGGTGAGGTGGAGATGAAAGCGAGGTTCCAGTCTGCTAATTGCAGTTTGAAAAAGCAAAGGTGTCGCCTGCCACGCTGGGCTGCATGAGTGGCAGGTTGCAGGGTTTTGCACGCGCAGCATCACGATGTACTCGGCACCTGGATCGACTCAGAAGGAACAACATATCTCAAGAATTGCGGCAGAGGCTTGTCACGGCCTTTCAAGAGCCACACTTGGTCCACTTCATCCGCTGCCTGTGCAGCCGCGAGGAGTGGAGCAGTTCGGATGTTCACGCCGGCATGAGTGATCGTGATTGCGGCTGCACAAATCTCGTCAAGCGGCTGCCCGTGCTGCCACTTGAACACAGGACGTGTTCGTGCCTGTCCACCACCGAGTCACTGAAGGGCTGCATCGCAACACTAGCCTTCAGACAGCTGAGGCTGAGGCATTCTACCGGAGAGCCGTTCAGGAGTTTGCAAGAGTCCCCCTGCGCCATCTCTATTCTGCACGAGGTGATCTCAAGAGCAGGACAGAGAAGAGGTGAGCTTGCTATGCACGCCATGCAGTGCTTAGCCACGAAGTCCGGACGCTTTGAGGTCGACACTTAAGGTTGCGTCAGAGGTCCTCAAGAGAGCAATTGCTCTCGCGAGCTTACCGTTTTTCAAGTGAAGCCTGCCTTGATTGGCAAGGGACTCACACCAATTTCAGAGGCTGCTACTTTGGTGGACGCAGGTCCACTGCAGTCATGAACTGTTCAACTTGCCGAACATATTCGTGCCGTCGGCATTGGCACATGCTGGCCCACCTAAAGCTGCTTGCATGAGCAAAAAGGAAGCTCTCTCCGTCCTTCAAAGGACTCTTATGGCTCTTGACACGTTCATGCAACTCTGGCCGCAAGCAACAGCCTGGAAAAATCTCCGTCAAACGAAGGCAAACTCAGCATGAAGCAAACGTCCAGCATCTACCGGTTTGATCGGAACTCCGGTGCAGTTTGTGCCCGCAATGTCGCCCGTGAGATACGGTTGCTAATAGCAGTCTGCAGGCGTCGAACCTGCAGTGCACGATGTGTGGATCTTTTCCCACACAACCAACCCATACTGTAGATGAGGGAGAGTCTGCAAGGCTACATCCAAGCAATCCCGAGCCCCTCGGTACATGATGAGACAAAGGTGCACAGACACCTTTCGGATCGTCGGTTGTACTATAGCCCTTCGAAGACGACACTGCGTTGGAAGACCGCGAATCATGCCAAGACGCTCTCCTCGCCTCGGCCATGCCAGAGCATTGCGGGTGAGGTGGCAAGAGGCAAGAGGTCACTTCTTCCGACGAATTTCGCAAGATGTGCTGTTCCGAGGACAACGCTGCGAGCTGATGAATCGATAGCTCCGCCACGACATCCACAAAGACAATAACCTTGTTGGCAGTGCTATGCTGGGGGCTGCTTGTGTCCTTTCGCTTGCTAGCTGTAGTCTCATTACAGTGGCAGATACGACGAAACCAACAGCGGCAGCTTCGCCAACGGCAACCGGAGCGGTAGCCGCAGCTGCAAGCCGCCGCCGCTGTGATTGATAGTTCAATCGGGTCACCATTCTTGCCGGTATGATTATTCGCAGTTCTGTTCTTGGTTTTGACCTTGCTCGTTCCTTACACTTGCTTTCAATTTCATAGTTCTGTAACAGGGACTTACCTTGCGCGAGCATGGGCGAAGGTGCTTTGTGCAGCTGAGACTCGGCATGTATGCCAAAGAGTGAATCATACCACTCAGCGTCACCAGACTCACCTTTGCTTAGGAAGTCTTGGTTCAAGGCTTCTTGGAGGGTTCACAAGCCGCATGCATCATGCTAACTTCCTGATACTATGCTGGCCCGGCATGATCGATTTGCAATGGCCACAACGAATTGCGCTTGGCACCGGACCCTGTCGCATGAGATAAATCCACGGAACAGCCAGGTGAGACAGACACAGCCCGAGTCCTGAGCGCTTCAGGGACGTGTTGGATTACAATCCCTAAAGTCACAGCAACCCACAATACGACCTGCATCATCCGTATCAGGCAACACTCAGCATGAGGCATGCCTAGTTCCTTCCTCATTCGTTGCACACCACCACCGCGCTACATTTCCAGGCACCACCCGAAGCTCCATATGATGTTGGGCAATCCATGCTAATTTGTCCTGTGCTCCCTCCCTACCTCACCCACCGACGTCATGTATTCACTTTCCGCGGGGATCTGTCATCATGTTTCACGGCTGGCTTATGCACAAAGGTGGGCTGTGCGTACTTTCAACCCTTTACTTCTTTTTCGAAACAGCCACATAACCGCGGGAGGGCAGTTCTTGGCTGCAGCAAGCCTTCGTCAGCACTGCTGACAACTGACTCGCTCTCCTTTGCTTCTTTGGTAGCAAGGCCATCAACCCAGTTCTTGGAAGGTGCATGTTGCAAAGCACCAGTGCTATTAAGATGTCCACGACACACAACTTTCATAATTCAGCTCGGGATCGTACATGGAACCTCAGCAAATACTCTTTGCCGGGCTCGTGGCTTAATCTTGTTCTGCAGATGAGCGGCTTGTAGCCCAGCTCGGATTGCTTTTCAATCTTGCACTTCCGAACATGTCGGAGGCTTAGCAGCAGCAGTCCTCGGACGTTCAAGTCGGACCGCCGTCGATTGCAACCTACAGAAATTCTCCGGTCGTTGAGAAACTCAAGCATCTTCAAATTACCCATACACACCAGCCGCGCGTCGAGTGATGCAGAGTATAGACGCTGAGTGCCATCGAAGCACCTCGCTGTAGACTCTAGATCAACCAGTGTCCCCGGAATGACCGTGAAGGTCTCATTCGGCTGTGTGCTTTGCCGTCCTTTCGACTTAGACAAAACATCGATCCGAAGTGCAGGCATTGTTGGCAAGCAGCATTCATCGTCCAGCCGGACTCTGTGACGCAGCTGTCCTCTTCACAAGGCTTACTCCGCGAGCTTCGTGCCAGAAGCAGGTGCGACCATGCTCCCCTTCTGATTCCCCGCGCCTGAGAACCCGACGAGGATGACATGGCTCGGCTGTGAGGATCGGCAGGTCCGCGGCTGCTCGCCTTGTACTGCTGCATGTCGATACCCACGCTCACCGACGCTGGCAGGAAGAACAAACACATGGCCTTGGCGAAATGCTTCGTGCTAAGCTTTTCAGTTGCCTGAACATGCCTGAACAGTCGCTGCCAGTGAGCGCAGCGTGGCAAGCCGTAGTGGCGAGGGGCGATGGCATACTGCAGTGTATATTCCCAGGAATTCAAGTACAGCAGATCCATGGGCGTTCTTGTCGACAGCCTGCGCTTGTAGCCAGCTGGGGAAGAGCGACGATGTTGCCACTGCAAATACTTGCAAGCTGAGCTTCGCCAAGTCATGGCTCTCATCCCCTGATACACTCTAAAGGCTTTGGAATTCTTGAGAGAGAGAGAGAGAGAGAGAGAGAGAGAGAGAGAGAGACAGAGAGAGAGAGAGAGAGAGAGCCGAACGTGTTATGCCCACAGCGTGAAAACTTGCAAATGAAGACGAGGTACCGTGCTGTTTGGTGTTGAAGTACTCCGCTGCCTTCGCTGGCAATGAGAGACATGATCATTGTACGTTAATTCTGCAGCCGCGACGTCGTGCTGCAGCCAAGGGGCAAGCATCAGATCCAGAGATGTCTGGGAAATCTTAGCGGGGGAAAGGCTTGCCCCGCACTCAAAGCCCACTGTACTGCAAGTTCATCAAGCACAACACGGAACTGTGGAAACGTGCTTAGATCCGGACGAGTGATACAAGATCAAATTCGCGAATAATGCACGTGATGACCCACTCGCCTGTGCTCTGGATTTGGCAGGCAGGCTGGGAGGCATCTATACAAACCTGAAAGAAAGCTCATGCCGACTCACGCCTTTCCCGAAAGAGATTAAACGCAGCTGAGGCTCCCAGGGACACCAGAACCATGAGGTCCGCGCGACCTCTCAAGTGCTGCAGGTCCAGCAACTCCATGACAGTCGTAAACTTCCAGCAGATGAAGTAGGAAGAAGCCTGAGCAGGCCGGCCCAGTCTACCACTAGTCAACAGTCTGTTCGACGCGCGTCGGTGCTTCATCTTTCGAGGTGCTGGACGTGCCAGCGGGCAACAGCGCACTCACAAGGCACTACTTAGCGACTACTTGTACTTGCTGAGAGTATTGTTTAAGCGGAAGCAGGATTTGGGCTTCCAGCTGTATTGAACTGATGCGGGAATCCATCCACTCGATACGTCGATACTCTACCACTCGTCGATTTTTGCGACGGGTCACCGTTGAGGGCAATGCAACATGCTTCAACCAACAGCGATACTGTGCTGCCGCTAGCTTTCCTGGGCATCAGCTGCTGCATTCTCCACACTGCTTCGCCCCGACGAACCTTCTCAACCCCGTGTGCTTACAGTCCGGCCTTCACCGGCCCAATGTGCTCATGTGAAAACCCTGCACTCCCCGTAGTGCACCCTGTCCAATGTCGGAGTCCGGCCAAGAGGCGCAGAATGCTGCAACAATGACATACTTCCTGAGCAAGAAGGTTCAAATCTCTATGCCACGACCGCAACATCCAACATGTAGCTGTCGTATAGTTCTGTTGTTGCTGTGAAGAAATCAAAACCTCAAAAACCTCAAACCGACTTATGGAGCAACCACCCAACCTGTGCCAAAGCACCTCAAGATACATGTGTGCCCTCAAAGCCCGACACTGCAGCGCAGATGGAGCAAGATGAATGCAACAGTTGGTGCATTTTTGATGAAGGCAAGAAGCTCGTGGGCTGTCATGAACCTTGGTTGATTCCGCATACATCGTGGGAGAAATTCATATGTACGTCAAGGAAAGAAGGTCGACACATACGACGACATGCAGCAGCCTTTGTTTTTGGATCCACGAGTGCAGGGTGCGCCATCCTGCAAGCCAAGAACACAATCACCAGAGCAATGCCAACATTCGCCATCAGCATGACTGCCTGAAGCGCAAGCGCACCCGAAAATGGTGTGCAGACTGGGGCACAACTACCACTATTTGCCACCACGTGTCGACGTGGTCCCGGGCATTGGGGTTGAAGATTGCTGCTTGCGCAGAAATTGCCTCTGATGGACAGCGGCATGTCGGACGTGGTAATTCGTGCAGATGTAGCTGTTGTGGCTAGACATCTACAAGTCTGCACGGTAGTGGATCGAGCAGCACATATGCAGCAATGCAGACAAGAAGCAATCTGAGAGGCTTGGCTGATCAACGCCCCGCAATCAAACCTTCAAGTGCAGACATGTGCAGATAATCAGCTGAGTCCCCAACTTCAAAACAGTGTCCAAACAGGGACAAAGGCATGCAAGGCGCCTCTGGACATAGCGCGGAGTATCAACCCAAGCTGCAGTGCATGGTGGGTGAACATCACTTTTCACCTTGGCGATTCGTGCAGGCTCGGAAACAATGGCCGAGCCGGGACATGCTTGATTGTTGAAGGTTCACACACTTAGCAGAGCAAACGGTCTCCTCCTCGGCACGCTTGGACAGAGGTCGGGTCGCAATGCTTCGCTTACCATCCAATCGGCTGACCAGACATTGCCGCAACTTCCTCAACCCTGCATGCTGCGCCCTTCTCTCTGTTCTCGCCGTCTGCTTCTCCCTGGATTGTGCACTGAAGATTTCTTGGGCCCACTTTATCGACGCGTGCAGTTGAAGATGCCACAAGGCCATTTGCTGGACGATTCTCGCAGTCGCGTTTGCCAGTACCAGTACCTCTCTTTCATTGTACTGAGTGTGTCTGTCAAACCCCTGGAGCCTCTTGATCGCTCTAGCGAGGTCCTCTAGAATTGTGCACCCAAAAATTGGCCAACAACTACTATGACAATTATGGTGATGGTATATATTGTGACAAGGACAATCAAACAGAAACTGGTCAAGCGCAGCTCCGTCGCCTGACTTGCTTGGACACCGACCGACATTTCCACAACTGAGGGACGGGCGGCAGCTGCCATCCACACGGAGCCCAACGTCGTGCCGAAGCAGCAAAGCAGGGTAAACAAGTCGTCCATGTTCCAGAGATTCACAACCTCGTCTCGTCAAAGATTGGCTGTTCATGACTGGCTCTCCGCTGCATCTGCCGATGCTGAGGTTGCGACGAAGGACACAGAATGGAGCGATTGTATCATGATGATCCAAAGGACAATCATCGACACGTGGTTAGTAACCTTTGCGCGTGCGCGGCAGGAATGGACGGCCTGCATGCTGTGACTGTCGGAACTGAGGAGCGGTGTTGCCACCAATTTCGAAGATGTGGCTCAAGTTGGACAGCATTGCCACCATGATTAGATCGTTAAACCTTGAGTGTGCAAGATCAGCTGCTTTGCATCGTGAGGAATTCTTGCCGGCCGATAATTCCCAGCCGCTGCATGTGCTTGCAACCGAGATACAATTCTATCCAATGCCTTGCATGCACATTGTACATGCTGCAGGGCACATGAAGGCACAAAACCAAGACCAGCGGCCCTGTTCAGCCGAGGCGCTCATGAATGTGCTCCTCGCGTAACATGCTGGGATCTGAACGCGACACCCCCCAAGCTGCCAGAATACCCTAAACCCTGAACCCTATGTACAACGGTGCCCCTTCTCTGGGCCTCGTCGTGCTCGGAGTCCAACTTACGGAGCCGAGGTCTTTGCCAGAAATGCCGCAAGGGATGGGCGACCTCAGCTGCCAGGTCTGCGATGGCACGGCAGAAATATGAACAGTACAAGTATGTGTGTGTGTGTGTGTCCTGGTATATATGTTCTTGTACACAGAAATGAGCATCGATGGACCCATACACACATCCGCGCGTATGCACATACAACAGCGGAACTTCGCTGCAACTTATCACCGAGTGTCTTTGGTACTGAATCGCATCGCACTCTTCTGTTTGCAAACGGCATCTTCTTTGGCCGCTTCAAACACCTGTCATGTGACTTGCGAGTGCGGCTTGCCCAAAGTTTGGATCTATCCAGTCAGAGCATTCCGTTCTCCTTCGGAGCAAAACCTCTAGCAAGATTTCCCCGTGCACAACACCTAGAAAACAGCCCGCCTTGACAGCTGATTGCACACGCTTCTCGTGGATGCTGGACAAGCGTGCCACCATAAAGGAGAGAGGGTAGTCTGCATCAATTTCTCTTTGGCCTGTTCACTCGCAAACATCATATGGAGGCTTCGTGGCTTCTGATGTGGGGCACCAAACATTTCTCGAGGACCCAGGCTGAGCATGACAAGGAGCCGCACCTAGCTGCAATACTAAAGCAATTTGCAGTATTGCAGCAAAATTCCAAGGAAGCACTATCAATATAAAAACATCACGACAGCCTGTATTGCTACGAATACGAATACGTCCGTCGTTCTTACGAAGAGTCTCAGCGCTGTTGGGATATTCTTGATGAGGACAAGGGTTAGGGTGTATACACACCTCACGAAATGTGTGCTGGATACGCGGGTCGCGGCCAATTCTTGACATGTGTACCAGTCGACAACGCTATGCATGTATGGTGTATCGTATTATGTCCTATTATACTCAGATGTTTCCCACTTTTCTAACACTTTGGACTATATTATACTACATTGTACTATGTTACACTTTATCATATCATATTGAACTGTACTCTGTTCCATTATGCCATATCCTGGACTATGTCATGTTATGTCTATGCTATGTTATGTTTAATCGGCTATGCTATGTTTCATCTGCTATTTTCTCGTATAGTATGCTAACTGTAACATAACTGTAAGATATCATGCTATTTCATAGTATATCTTACTATATCATGCCATTATAGCCCTGGATCTCAGCTTTGCATGTATTTATATATGTGTATTTGTGTGTGTGTGTGTGCCTGCCTGCAACGTTCGATTCCACATTGAACGCGCTGCTGGATGAAGCAGTCTCTCCAGAAGCTGCTTCAGCATCCATGCTGGGTGCAGCAGCTATCGTCCCCGAAAGTTTGTACAGCCAGCTGAAAGTTTTAGTCTTAATTAGTCTCTTGGGTCACGACGTTGCATGACCTATGATCCTGATGGGGAGGGGCTTTCACGGAGTTGCTATGCCACTGCTGGGACTGGGCAAGTTTGCAGTTGCGAGCTAATTTGACCTTGCTGTTGGCGTGGTTGCTATTTTCACAATTTGTGTTGCTGTTGTTGTTGCTGCAACAGGCTGCAGAAGCACGGGCATGACACCGTTCGAAGCCACCTTGCAGTCACTGCAGCTGCAAGCCCTATGGGCGCCGATCTTATCAGAAGGCACCTGATACCAGGCAGAGAAGTTTTGGAAAGGAGCACACACCTTGGGAGCGGCCGTGTTGTTTTCGGGTTTCTACTAGTGGTTCCACAAGACATCGAAGGGCAGAAGTTCTGCATAGGTTGGCCTTCGCGATATGGCCATGAAGAGTTAAATCCTGAAATCCGATTGGGTCTGCTGCCTGTTCATGGTTTGCGGGGTGCAGTGCAGCTGTCGGAGATTTTTGTGAACAGCTTGCAGCCTGCAGCTTTGGCAAAGGCTGCAGCAAGTCTGAGTGACGGCTTCGTCATGGAGCTGTCTGCGGTACCCTGTCGTACAGAGCCTGGCGTATGTACCTGCTCAAGAGAAGTGATCAGCTGATGCTTGGGTCGCTTCGGCAGTTGTACGACCTCATGCTGACAAGATGCACGGACAGCAGTCCTTCGAAAATGAGCAGGAAGCTGCCCGACAGCAAAGAAAGGATGCCTGGACAGAAGACTCTTCCTCTGTTCCTCATGGCCATTGTGACAGAAATCAGCCCCTGCAAGCCTAGGAAGTAGGACAAGATGACTGTCCAGAGCTCCACATCGGCCGCCAGTCCGAAGTTTGCCATCAGTGGAAATACATAGAAGCCTGCCTCAATGCTTGTGAAAGATTCACTTCACGGAATTCGTGCTTGAAAGCATCCGGCTCCTCGACCTACAAAAACGACTTTTCAGCACAGTGGCACCGATGAAGAACACGGCTCTGCCCACTTGGAACTTCCTGAGCAAGCGTCAAGACATCAAGAGCATGACCCTAAACCCTAAACCCATGTCGTGCCACTAATGCTTGCATGGACCGAAGAACGCATGCATCGCATTAGGCTTGGCATCATGCAGCGTTGAGCTGACATTTCCCTGTACTCTGTCGAATAGGAGTAGGTGAGTAGGATGACACAACATGACATAATCGACAGGCGAGAGTCAAGACTCCGAGCCAAAGCTCAATGTTCAGCCACGTCGGCCAACTTTCGAAGCCATTCCGTAGGATGCCACACCTAGAAGACCAGGCCGTAAAGCTGAGCTTTCGGCTTTTCAACCAGGTGAAGCAAAGGCGCTGCACCGTGGCCACAAGGGCAGGAATGCTGAAGGCCACGAGGTACAGGCCCTAGTGGTGAACTGGGGGCCAAATGAGAGATGTCACAGATCTAGGAAAGCAGTAAGAGCAGGTCGCACCCCGGCCTGGGTAACCCAAAACATGCGGTCGAAGGCTCCATGGTGCATCCGTGAAGGCTTCAGAGGCTTGCAGGCCAGCATAATTCCCAGCGTCAGGAATCCTGGCGAGGCATCTTTATGCGATGCCCCCTTTGAGCTGGAGTGCTCTCGGACAGAACGGTACACTGAAGGGGTATCATCATGTATCATCCACAGTGCAGCTCAGCCGCCTCCGATAGCAAGCGCACAAGCGACGTTGACCAGCAAAATGGCCTGAGGTCTGCTTGCACAATGTGCTGGCCCGGGTGAGCGCTCACAGCACGGGCTCGGAAGGGCATTGCCCTACTGCGAGTCCTATGGATACCTTTCAGCGTGCAGTACTGCGCACCTTGTCAACATAAGGCGCTGCCTTTCTCCATGCCGCTGAAGCCTCAGGTCTCTGCGAATCATGGGATGGATTGCAGCGCCACTCGAGTGGGCGATGCCGGCCTCGTGCATCCCACGCTGACAAGCCTCCGCACCGTGTTGCCAATTTGCACGTGCCACCTGACATGTCTGACAACAAAGCAGAAAATGAGATGAATGCGTAGCAACACATGGCTAGGCGTAGTTTGCTGTGCGGGAGATGACTCGAGCAGACTGAAAAGCAAGCATAATAGATACATGGCAGTTTCAATTTGCCTGCGTCAAGCTACAATATACTTTGCAGAGCCTCTGTTCCCTGCTGGATCATCTCGGCGCTTGTCTGCGCTGCTTGGACACCGGCTTTTCGAAGTGCCTGCTGGTGCAGGTCACAGATCAAACCGACGCATCCAAGTTTCCCTCATCACATCGAAATGGTTTCACTTAGTTGTATCGCTGAAGTTGCTGTTGCCCTCAACGTATCTGATCAAAGACTTTCGATTGACATCGGCCTCGGCCTGCCTCAGCTAGCTTTCACATCAAAAGTTTTTTTTTGGGGGGGGACCCGGCCGACGTGCCAGGAATCCAACAGGATTCTTGTCCCTCACTATCACTGCGCCCCCCAAGGCCAGTCTCTTGTTGCAACATTGAGTTCCACCATGTTCCACCCTGTCAGGTACACTGGCACGCCTCTGCTGTCTCCGCGCTGGATCGCAGAGCTGCGTTGCCTTGGCGGCGCGCCTCGCTTGCAGCTTCTGCGCCTCTCGCCAAGTCCCCACACGCTCGTTTTCACTGATCACGTGTTTTTCTCCGATATGCCAGAACATGGAACTGAAGTCCATCACAGGTAGCTCGCTAATTAGAGAGGGTAGCGACAGAAGGTGCCTCTCTCCAGGGCCACAGCGCCATGGGCGCGTGTGGCCTCCATGGCTTCAGCCACCGGCCGTACGAGAGACGCGCCGTACCGGCGCATGTCCTCCACGGCTTCTGCCACCTGCCCGCGAGAAACCCGTGTGAGAAGATACACCGAGCTCTAAATCTAGAAAGGCCGGCGCAGTGCCTCTTCCCGAGTGATCACCACCGGTACATCTTCCGGTGCTGAGCTAGAGCGTGGTGCTTGTGCCTGCCGAGGCAAAGAACCGCTATGAAATTGCAGGCAGGATCGGTAAATCGCAATGGTACCTGTAGCAGTGGCTCTTGTGGCAACGAATCGCTGGTGCCTGCCGCAGGCAGCGGCATGCAAAGACCGCTGGATAGAAACGACTCCGCTAGGGTCTTGAGCTGTGCCTGTCGAAAGCATGGGCCGGCTGGGCCCATGGTCTCCTGCCTCGGGCTCAGACGCTGCAACCTGCAGACGGCTGTGCAACTGGGTAAAGCGGAAGGCTGGCGTGAGCAGACATCAGGCAATACCAGGTGCTTGGCACAGCCTGCTTGTCCAAGCTTGGACCCCGGTTTGTTGCTTGCGGTGGCACACTTGCAGCTGCACCTGACACGGCAGGGATCGTACGGCTTTTCGAGTGCTGGGGTATGGGTAGTATGGGTGCTTGCATTCTCTGTTTTGCCCCACTGAATTACTAATCCACTTCTGCAAAGCCGTTTGTGTGTATGCAAATGGCAGCGGTTGAGCACCTTTCCATGCTTCAAACAAGGCGGGCCGAAAAACGGACCTGGGCCCGCACAAAATTCGCAAATCCCACTGGGTCAGCTGCCGTTCTCGTCGCTGGCAGCCTCAACTCCTCCGGATGTCTCTCTGCATGTCTTTGTGACTTTGTGCGGGACTACCCAGTAGGAGAAGAGAACCGCACAGGTCCACAGTCCACTCTCTGAGCTTCTCTGCGTGTGCGTTTGGCTGTCTCAGCGTGTCTTTCGGGCGGGGTGGAGGAGGGGCTTCGCGTCCGTGCGTGGGAGATCAGTGCGTCGTCGGTGTGTGACTGAGAGCGCCAACCTGGTTCACGGGGGAAAGGGGTCGCTCCGAAAGGCAGATTCCCACGTATTCATTGAACCGAACCTGGATCTTCCTTCTTGGTCAGCCGAGCACAGCAGTGTTTTGGAAGGGCAGAGGTGTCCATGCAAACAAGTATGCACTGGGACACGCAATTGCGAAAATACAGCCTGTGGCGATATTGGATAGGGCAGAAGAATTCTCGCATGCAGAGGCCAGGTATCCGGTATCCTGTCTTGCAAGGCAGCAATGTTGTAACAGTTGTGGGAAAGTTGTGGGTTCTTCCGTGCGTGCTTTCTGCGGCAGCAAGATCCTGTGGATCTTTGTTCGGTTTGCGCGCAACTGTTCCGGCCAATATGCAGCCCGTCATTCAAGCAAGCCGGGTGCACCTCGTCGCGGCCTTGTACGCCTTCATGCCGATAGTTTTTACCATGTGGCGTGTGTTGGATCTGCGCGTGCGCGTGTGTTTGTCTGTCTCCTTGGTGGGGCAGGGAAGGGGGAAAGCGGGCGCATGCCGTCTGCAACAAAGCAGTCGCTCAGCCATTGCCCGGGATTTCCAAACTCAACCATCATCAGCCACCGGGACCCTGCCAAATCCTGCTCTCAGCTAGGCGCGGGGCCCGCCAAGCTTTGGACAGGGCGAGCTATTTCCCGTTGCTTGTCGTCTGGTCTTGACTGAAGCTTCTCCTGGCGAATGCCATCTTTGGTAGGCCGATGTCGCTGACGACTGCTGCAGGCAATCCTCGTGTCATTCGTAAGATATTTCTGCAACTTTTTGTTTGTGTGTAGATGCTTCTACAACTCCGGCTGCTGATTATGCTTTTTAGACTGCAAGCTGAACCGACAGGTATGTGGAGGAAGCCTGCTGAAGAGCATCGAATGTGTGTGGGCCATGATCATGCGCCTGCTTCTCGGATGGCCTTGCATCGGCAGCTTCTCGCGAAGTACCTGCAAGTAACGTGGGATGTCTGCTTCTGCTGCATGAGCATACGACACTATAACCCTGTAACACAAGCACCTGCGATGTCGTCAGCCGGCGCCCGGACCTCCGCCTTTCCTGACACAACCTTCGCCTTGCGCTGTCATGCGCAGGCGAGCAACAGAACAGCGGACTCCCCTGTGCACTCAAAGATATGCCACCCCCACTCCAAGAGGCCCCTGGAGCCCCAGAGCTCGACGCGCCTTCTCAGATGTCTTCCCATCAGCGGTCGCTTCTCGCGAAGCGCCTGGACGCGAGTCTCATGGAAAGCTTTTGGGCCAAGGAGTGGGAGCCAAATAACAGCAACAATAATCACAATTATAGTTAATATCACTATTCCTATTGTTACTGTTAATGCCCTATTATTTCTATTTTATTACTACTACTACTACTACGACGACGACGACTACTACTACTACTACTACTGCTACTCCTACTCCTACTCCTACTGCTACTGCTACTGCTACTGCTACTACTACTACTACGACGACTACTACTACTACTACTGCTACTGCTACTGCTACTGCTACTGCTACTGCTACTGCTACTCCTACTTCTACTTCTGTGATTAATACTACTACTAATAAAACTACTACGACTACTACTACTACTACTACTACTCCTACTACTACTACTACTACTACTACTACTACTACTACTCCTGCTACTACTACTACTACTACTACAACTAAAACTACTACATTACTACTACCTTACTACTACTACTACTACTACTACTACTACTACTACTACTACTACTACTACTACTACTACTACTACTACTACTGCTACTGCTACTACTACTACTACTACTACTACTACTATTACTACTGCTACTGCTACTGCTACTGCTACTACTACTACTACAAAAACTACTACTACTACTACTACTACTACTACTACTACTACTACTACTAGTACTATTACGGTTCTTCTTATTATCATTTTTGTCATTATGCCTGTTACGATTATGGTTGTTGCCATTATTCCTTTTGCAAGCACACTGCATCGACAATGCCTGTAAGGTCTTCGCTATCGGCCGGCATCTGCGCCATGCCCTTGGAAGGTCAGGGTCGTCAACGTTGTGCCCTTTGCACTGTGGTCTTGCTGGATTCTCGTAGATTGTCTTGTGCAAGATCCTAGACATCCGCTTCTGGCGGGTGCAACCTGCAGTGTTTGCAGAACTCACCCTGGCAGGCCCAGCCAATTCTCAGGTCAAGGAAACGACAGAGGAGGCACAGCTGCGACATGTAAGCTGCAGACGCCCGGCGGCTCAGTGGCCAACCTGGAGGCTCATGGAACGAACACGACCCTTCAAAGTCAATGCCAGCCAAGGCCAGTCTCTGTGTGTGACGAGTCCATGCTTTAAGGCTGCTCTCCGGCTTGCGCATGTCCACTTCCGATAAACGACAAGTGCACTCACCAAAAAACATCAACAACGTGCCAAGAGACTCCGTGTCACCGCAAGCAGGTTCAGGTGGCGCCTCAACGCGGCACTTTGATCTGCTTCGCTTGAAGATCATCGGAAGGGCTAATTAATGATCAAACATCTATGACACACACACACACACACAGCTCCTGAGCATCAACTTCTCCAGCCGATGCCATTGCCAGGCCGTTGAACGTGTGGCCCACATTAACTACCCACAAGCACATTCACCGTCGACAAGCTTTGTCAGCAAACGGTTGTTGCTGTCAAGTTTGCATCAAGTACGATCGAGCCTGATGGAGAGGTACGGCTGCAGGAGCGAGCATGGCCCACGCTCATTCTGCAGGTACTAGTACTGGGTAGGAGCATCTCAGACTCCAGCAAGGTCCTGACGCCGGCATGTTGCGAATGCATGCGCGCAGGATCGAAAAGCAGAACAAGGGCTTTTCAAGTCTCGGGTGCTGAACCTGACGCTCTTCTCATGACGATGACGCATGCGACACAACCAGAAACCATCTCTCCTCTGTCACGACAACGAAGACCGGTGGGATTGCAATCAGCATGGATGCTGCAGCCTCAGCTGACCGGCAACCATCATGGCATCTGAGTCATGCAACGCCGGGCGCTCGACGGACACGTTGGCACCGAAGGTTAATCGCACCTGCACATCGTTGTAGGGCAATGGCCTGGGCGAGGGTCTACATCGCATCGGGACGTCTCCAAAGCTAAAGTCTTAGGAAGCCGCCCGGCAGATCGCAATGCCAAGCCTTCCCGCAGGTTCGAGACACATTCTGTGGTGCACGCAAAAGCAATCCCTGCTGCTCTCGTTAGATTACTCTCAGGCGCCTCGGACACGTAACATTCTTCATCCAGGCTATTTTGCAAAGCCACCGTGGAAATCCTATCGATCTGACAGTGCCAAAATGTGCCAAAGCCAAGTATAACTTCGGCTGCTGGGGAGTTTTGTGGGAGTTTATGATGTTTATGAGTGCTTTGTTCGCTGCCGCAATGTTCCCACACTCTCTCGCCGGTCTGCTATGTCTGCTTCTGCAGAGGCCGCACGATCATCTTTCTTGGAAAGAACACTTGACGAGTCTGTGCGAGCTCCTCAGACGAGGCAGCCGCAGCTAAAGCGAATTTGTTGTCACTCCAGTATTGCTTGGCAGAACAAAGAATAACGAAGACCGGATCTCTGCCAGGCAGCTACAGTCAGCTGTTCCGACGGTAACGCGCGCATTCCCGACTCGCCTGGAAACGATGCCTGCACCTCGGCCGTTTCCACGCGCATGAGGTCGGCTCCTTTCAATGCGGGTCCGTACAGGGTGCTGACAGAGTCGAAACCTTCATTTCACTGCCGTGCCCCTGTCCTTCGAAAGCTGCAACCTGGTTGCCAACTGCAAGAAACCAGCTGTTCCTCCGCATCTCGAAGCCCCACTGCGGACGTGTTGAAGCAAATTGAAGCATCGACAGCTGAGGTGCTCGCTGATAAAGGAGGCCAGCAGGTATGTAAAGCTCAATTCCAAAAGCATACCTCCTGAGTAAAAGGAGGCAGGAGCTACACCGACAGCGGGGACCTACCATGGAAACAGGAATTGCTTCGTGAGGCTGCAAGAACCCCCCAGT